GTCTCTTTGCCCGATATGTGTTTTTTTTTTTTTTTTTTTTTTTTTTTTTTCTCCTTTCAACCAAAAGAGAGAGGAAGAGTTTCAGTCATATTTCCGACTCCCGCCGTAGCGGCCGTGGCTCTAGAGGCACCCCTGCTTGGTTGTGGTGGTCCATGTCGGGGGGGGTGTCTGTGCTCATGCTCTCAGGCACCCCAGTGTCAATCTCGTCCTCCTCTTTGCTGGTGAGGGCCACTTCGTTCTCGTAGCAAAAGGAGTTTGCGTTAGAGAGAATGTATTTCTTTTCTGCTAAGTCTCTGGCACTACAGATGGGTGTGTTGGGCACTTCGTATGTTTTGTGGAACCTTGAGTAGTCCACTTTGTAGGGGTGTCTGTGCTCATGCTCTCAGGCACCCCAGTGTCAATCTCGTCCTCCTCTTTGCTGGTGAGGGCCACTTCGTTCTCGTAGCAAAAGGAGTTTGCGTTAGAGAGAATGTATTTCTTTTCTGCTAAGTCTCTGGCACTACAGATGGGTGTGTTGGGCACTTCGTATGTTTTGTGGAACCTTGAGTAGTCCACTTTGTAGTAGTTTTTCTCTTCAAAGAGTACAGGCTCGTAGCGGTGGCCCCAGAGGATTTCATTTGCCAGATATGAGCTACGGCACTGGGTAGTCATGGCGGTAGCTTCCACCATGCCCTCTAATATTACTACAATTTCAAAGTCAGCATTGTCCATGTCTTGTTTGCTCAAGTCATACAAAGGACTGTCTTCATCTATTTCATGTACTATCGTAATTGGGGAGACCAGGAATATGCGGTCTATCCCGCTGTCAAACCCTACGTTGATGTCTATTTGATCCAAGGGGATGTACTCCCCTTCTGACGTGATCCTGGATTTGAGGAGCTGTGCTCGCACGTGTGCCTCCACCAAGTGGCTTTTCCTCAGGTTTCCAACACGCCACATCAGGCACAGTTTCCCGTCTCTCATGGCCACCACGGCGTTGTGGCTGAAGACTAGAGTTTCATTTCTCTTTTTTGGCTTAGCCATCTTTGCCATGACAGCACCAATGATGAAGGCATCAATGATGCAGCCTACTATAGACTGGAAAACCACCATGAAAACTGCGATGGGGCACTCGTCTGTGACACACCTGAAGCCATAGCCGATCGTGGTCTGGGTCTCAATGGAGAACAGAAAGGCTGCGGTGAAGCTGCTCACTTGAGAGACACAAGGTTTGCTATTTTCTTGAGTCTCCAGATCCCCATGCAACAGTGCAATCAACCAAAACACACAGCCAAAAAAAAGCCAGGAGAGGATGAAAGTCAGGCAGAAGATAACTAGCATCCACCTCCAGCGGATGTCCACGCAAGTGGTGAAGATGTCTGCCAGGTATCGCTGTCCCTTCTCGCCCACGTTAATAAACTGGACGTTGCAGTGGCCATCTTTTTTGACAAAGCGGCTCCTGCATTGCTGTCTGGTATGTACCTTACTCTTTCCGTTCCCAAAGCCGTTGGCAACGGCCATGGTTGCCAGCTTCATGCCGTCCTCTTCCGAAGACACGATGCTGTAGCGGTTGGTTCGCACGCTGCCCATCCCTACTGCTGTGGACTGAGGTGCTTCTGCTTTAGAAAACAGTCTAAGTTTCTGCAAAACCCTTTGGAGAAACAGTTTTGAAAGTTCTAGAGGAACACACACACACAGAAAAACAGGGGAGAGGCTGGAGTCCCCAAAAGCCCTTGGATCAACCAAGGACAGTCTTCTGGCATGCAGAGTTAGCTTAACAAGTAACCGTCATAGAGAGGGCATGGTCTGCAAGAGAAAGAGAAATGTTGTATTAGATCTTGGAGGAAAAGGATAAGGAATCAAACCTGAAAAAAAAAAATCAAGTAAAATTACTCGTGTGGACCTGCAGGAAGTTTCCTTATTCTTAAGGACAGCATTTTCTGGAACCCATTATGTGCGCAGTTGTGTATTGACAGAAGTGACATCGTTACGACAAAGAAGGCATCACTCTTCCCGAGTGAAAGCACTGAAGTGATCATGTCACACGAGCCCCTAAGCAATATTCACTTTAAAGCTGGACATGCAAAGAATCTATCTACTGTTTACAACTGTGCTTTCTCTTTCTTTTGAAACAAACAATCAGCGTTAGCATCCATCTGTTCAAATACAAATTCTGAAGCAGTTTTTAGTGACATACAATGTGTCTCCTGGACTGTCTTACCTATGACAAACAAGGGAGGTGCAAAAGGGAACATGACGTGTACTGAGAAAAGTAATCAACTTGGAAAATGCAAGCGTCAGTGATATCCAAGAAATTACATCACATATAACTTTTTTTTTTAATTGAGCTAAAAAAAGGAGTTGTGTATTCTCTGCAAATGGCAGGAATAAGGGCAGCGTTAGTTCCTCTTTAACTCCATAAACCCACTGGGATCCGTGCAGTTTTTACACTCACATTAGGCTTAAGTTGTATGAAGCAAACTAAACCTTGTAATGACCCTCATCTGCTCCTGCTAATGCAACTAGCAAAAGGCTACGATGGAGTAGGACCGGCCGAGTGTCTTTGTAACGCCTTTGGTAGCAAGTACCAGCACCTTCCCCTCGGGAGCCCGAGGCAGCCAGTTCCATCTCCAACGGGTAATGGTTCCGAGCGTCCCGTGGGTCTTAAATGTCAGCAATTAAGACTCAGCAGAGAGGCTACAAAACCTTCTTCCTAAGGGTAGAAGCCACCGAACTTGTTTCAGGGAGGTCTGGCTTAGACCCAGGTTTAGCTTTTAACAAGTGCGTCATCCATTAAGTCATGTACTGTATATCAGGAAATGTAATTGAAATACTGCAGAGGAGAAGAGATGCATTAATGCAACTGCTCCATCCACACATGTGCCCCATGGAGGAAATAAAACTAAAACCGAGTGATGAGGAAGGTCTGCTGTCCATTTGTCACAGGAGAGGAGACTTCAGCACCATTTACAGTAGCGGGGGATTAAATCAAAGATGCTCTGTGTAAATCAATATTATCAAAATTCATCTGAGTTTGTCCAAAACCCAACAAAACTGCAGCGGCCAAGGAGCGTGACCTCTGCCCACGAAGCGGCTTCGGTACTCTCTGGCTCTTCCTCCGATTCATATCTGACAGCAGCTGTAGATAAGAGTTTATCTCCTTTCCCAAAAGCAGCCCCTAAAGCTCTGCAGAGGTGTTCCAAAAACTTGAGGGATTTCAAACAGTTTCTCAGCCCTCCCACATCCTTCAACCACATTACAAGGGCTTTAGGTCAGCAAACACTTGTTAGGAAAAGAGCAGGTGACAAAGAGAAAACAACATCGTGCTTGTAGTTGCATGTAGGCGGGTTTTCCCTCTAAAATCTCTTTAGGGTTTACTTTTACCTTCTCTTTTTTCCTCATTTCTGTTTGTTGTGCAAGAATGCGTCCCAACGCCTACTTGCCGAGATTAGTCACCTGTGACTTCAGCGGCGTACAAGACATTTTGGCAGCTTTTGATCGGTTCGGTAATGCCCGGTTTTGAGAACGGCTCTCGGCAATGTCAGCTTACAGCGGAGCTGCCCTCTTCCTTATCTATCTTGCCTACACTGCGTAAGGTTTCATTTTTTCCCCCTCACACCTTTTTGATAATGGGGTTTCTCATTCCTGTCAGGATGTCATTCTCAAACATACAAAGGAATTCTTTTAATGTTTTCCTAACTTATATTTTTTGGCTGAAAAATACTTTTATTAGAAGATTGAACACAGGGGAAGTTGAAATTACTGTTAATACATTCCACACAAAAAAACTTCTTGAAAAACCATTGCGCTGGTCTGCAAATTGATCGCTTTTATAAACCACATTCTATAATCACAGGCACGTTCGACCTGCACATTCAAAGTCTGTTTTGTTCCAAGCTGATGAAAACATACAGCCTAGGAAACAGTTTATTTTGAAGTTGGTGGTTTTTTTTTTTCCCTGCATTGTCTCTTGGATTTTAGAGGAAAACTTGTGGTAGAGGGAAAGATAAGCTGTAAAGTCTCAAGTGTCTGAATATGCAGTTCCCCTCACAAAAGTCTTGACCTGAGGACGTTTGTTTAAATTCCACAAATCACTGAAATCGTAACGCCGGCTTCCTGCGGGGAGCTGGCTGCATTTAGAAGTTTGGGACCCGAATTAGGTATCCTACATCGTCTTACTCCTACTTTGAATGGCTGAGCACCTTCTACCTACCGTACCTTGCACAGCACTTCTCCCTCCTAGCGGCGCGCTGTCGGTGCTCAGCCCTTGGGAGCGGACCTGCACCGATTTGGCTCTAACGATCCTCAAACTCGGGGTGTGCCTGCAGGCACCCTATGCTACCCTTACAGACTACGTGAAGTTTATACAACAAAGCTCTGGCCCGCTCCACCGCAGCATAGTTGTCTTCTGTCTTTTAGAGCACACCTTGCCCCTCTGGTTTGCAAGTGCTGAGGGTGGGGAGGATGCCGGGATGGGAGCACGGCCAGCACCGTGCACAGGGACCGGCCAGCGCAACGCCGCAGGTCTGATCTTGGTCCACGTCCGTGGCAGCGCAGGCCCTGTAAAACGCCCGGTAGATCCCCTGCCTGATCACACACCTGAGCCGTGGTCACCTGGGCTGTCATAACTAGTTTTAGTAAAGGTTCACCCAGAAATCCCCGAAGCAATCAAACTAGCATGAAAATCTAACAGTACTTCTCATTTTGCTAATCCACCTGCTGCTCAAAGGCAAAACAAGTGGGCTGACCCCCACCCCACCCCGTTATCAGTTGGTGGTGGCACCGAAGATGCCAAGCTAGTGTGGGACCAGCCCTGCAATCCTCACCAGACAGAAGAAGCCAACCCAGCACCCACCAACCAACCCAAATTTTTGTGTAATTGGGCCCAACGCACTGCAGCCAGACGCACACACACAGAGCTGTAAATTCAATCATCACGAGGTGTGTTGTTATTATTAATTCAGGCTACCTTTCCCCCTGGAAGAGGATACAAGACTAGAGCAATGCGGCTTGTAATTACCGGCACTGGCACCGATGCGGCATTACCGGGAAGGGAGGAGATGGGATGGGAGAGCCCCGGGGTTGCTCTGCTGCCAGAGGATGCTTGGAGGAGCAGAGGAAAACGGGGCTGTGCTGCATCTGCAGCGTTTCTGAACCGACGTTTGTGGAAATGCCGGGATGAGGAGCCCAAACCCCTCACTTTCCGCTTAGCAAGCATCCCCGGGAAAGACGTTCGCATCGCATGCCTAAACTCCACAACAAACAGCTCGAAGGGAATTTGTGCAGAAGGTTTAATACTGAGCAAAAACTCCGAAGTGCAAAAAGAGCCGCGGGGGTAGAGAGAGGAGCACTAATGAGCGCTCGGAGCAGTTATTCCCAGGCTGACGCCGCGCAGCCTCGCCGAGGGAGCCGGGCACATGTTGCTAAGAGAGCACCAGCGCTGCCTTAGCCAAGCACCTTCCCCTCCTGCCCTCCGTAATCAGAACAAAGGAGCCACTCGCATCAGCAAAGCCCGTTCCCACAGTCCCCGCTCCCTCGCTGCTGGGCACGGCCACCCCTGTAACCTTTCTCCAGACCCCCACGTTACTTAAAAGTCACTCCCCAGGGCTTCTCCGCTGGTTTGGGAAGGACTCGAGTTACACAAAGTGGTGAGCTGCCTTCAGGAGAAGGATCTCTCCTTCATCATCAGGCAGTGGAGGTGGGGGGGGGGAAATCCAAACAAATAAATAAAAGCACACTGAAGAAGGGACAA